TTATTGAAATGATTTATTATTTTATTTCTACTTCGCATAACAAAGTTCTCCACTAAAAATATATTGAATTTGAAAAGTTTTCTTAAAGTTTTCCATCTGAATAACGTAGAAATAATCTGTTAAATGATATTTTTGCTCTTTGGAACGATGGAGAACGTCTCCTCTGTGTCTCTGCGTGAACACGTTTCCCCAGCAGGACTCTATATTTCACATCAGCAAACACTGTACACCCCTGGGGGGGAAACATAACTGTTTAACTGCCTGTTAAGTTCACAAGTTGCTGTAATTGAGCCATAATGCCAACTTAAACTGGCCTTCAAGTGGAACTCTACCTTTAGAGCAGAGCCCTGTTCCTGGATATGGCTCCGTTTGCCATTTTCACAATCCATAAGATGGATTAACACTGAATTCAATTAACTGGTGGATAGCTTATAGAGCTACAGCTTGATTTATTGTGATCGCTGAGCTTGTAGCTTCTTATTAATAATAATGATCCTGTCTGTGTGCGATGTGAGAGGAGAAAAGTGTCTCGCAAAGACAATCTGTATACTTCCAGATCTTTCACCTCGGCGGAAACGTTTTGTAGACTTTGAGGCTGGGATTGTTAGTAAAACGCTGTCACTGGTGTAAAAAGTGAAGGTGAAATTTTCACTGACTGCCAACTTAAAAAGCCTCACATCTTGCCAATAAGTCTGTTTAGGTGCCGAAGGCGACAGCCAATCAGCTGTCAGCGCGGTGACAGCTCCGACTCGCGTTATGACAGCGTGTTGGTAGGAAGAGGAAACATCAGCAAACAGATACTCTTTATTCAGCTTCCTGTCACTTCTACGACTGCTTCCCTGAAGAGAACCTGCCCAGCATAAAACTGGGATTTACTTCTCACAGTTTTTTTTAGCAGCAGGTTCAGATTTATTCCCACCTTAACAGATTCTCTGAAAACCCACACTTGTCTGATTTCCCCATATTTGTTTACCTGGACAGACAGCCGGCCTAATGCAGGTAAATCAGGAGACTCAGCTGCTTATTTATTTTTTTCTTTGTTTACACTGAATGTGTAATTCAGCTAGGAAGGCTCACGCTCATACGTATTAATCCCACCACTTTTGCCCCTTTTCCACTAGCACCTCTACAGCACGGTTTGACTTGGCTCGGCTCTGTTGAGYATGGTTCGGGTGGTTTTCCATTACCAGCGGCGGGCAGCGCTAATCCAAAAATTAGCTCCGCAATTTCTAAAGCACTTATGAAAATATTTAGGTCCGCAACTTCAAAAACGCTTATGCCACAGAAAAATTAGCGGAAGCTAATTTTAAAGTGCTAGTTCAATTTGACACTCACTAGCTGACAACAATTCATGTACAATATATGTACAACACTACCAACTAGCGGTGTATGAACCTTTGTACAGCTTAATCCTACAACTGCCGATTGCTGGGGATGTGATTTCCTGAAACAGACCTTTAGCTCCTGGTGTACAAATTAAAAAGTTGTTGAGGATTGCTAGTTTGGCTGCTTCTTTAAAAAGTTGTTGAGGATTGCTAGTTTGGCTGCTTCTTTAAAAAGTTGTTGAGGATTGCTAGTTCGGCTGCTTCTTTTTCTTTTTCTTTTGTTTGTTGTAGATTTTTCATTAAAGAAGCATCAATAATGTAAATTTAAAACTGTTTATTGGAAAACTGAAGCGATGCATTCTGGGTACATGACGAATTTGATTTGTGATGGGAAACGAAAGCACGGACTACAGGAAACAAACTTCACTTCAAAATAAGAGCTTGGATTTTAAAGTTTTCCATGTAGTTGCTCCAGTTGACCACTAGATGTCTGTCTAACACCGTTGGCCAATTGCTTCGACGAATTAAGTCAAGTATTGAGCTCCAGTGTTTAAACATTTTTTTTTTAAAAAGGAGCTCTGATTGTAAAGTAAAATAAATCAATACATACAAAATTTAGTATGTATTACAAACGTTAACTGTTTTAGCTGGGACAGGGAGTTCTAAACACTACCTCCCTGCTATGTAAGCAGACACAAAGCATTGTGGGAAATGAGAACCGTGACCGAAAGCAACAGTCAGCAAAGATGCATACCTTTCCAATAAGTGT